TCAAAGTCTTCCATGGACAAACCTTGCCCACGAAAGACTTGAAATTTGACTGACACGGTGTCTTGTTGTTCGTGATGTAATTCTGCGATATGAGGTTGTTCAGAAAATATATCATCGATGTTTTTTTTGTCTTTTCGTTCGAGTCAATTAAAAAAAGTATTTTAAAAGTAGTAAATTGAATACTGCAAAATTCGCTTTCAAGATATCTTGCTTGCTTGTTCCTATGAGAAGAAGAGAAGATTGTCGTCAATGAATAAACTACTCGGATCTCTGTCTGATTTTGGCGCAGTATCAGAATGAATGAGCACGAGCGCACTTCGACAGATATATATATATAGTGGGTCAAAAATATTATTCGCCTAACCCTCCATCACCACTGGATTTTTTCTAATATATTCGAACGAAATGAACAAGAAAGCTCGAGCATACGCCATGATACACCTTGTTGCTAGGAGTGCCTATGCTAGTATTTATAAGTTCTTCTTGCCTCTCTTTCTTATTTTATTTGAGAAATAGTAGAAATGTTCATATTTTTTGCGCATAAAAATTATTCGCCCACTTTCGCAAAAGAACGCTTTCGTTTACTACTCTAAGTCTTTAGGAATAGATAGGAGTTGAAATGATCGACAGAAATCATTTTAAAAAACTTTCTCTATTGAAAGGGATATCTTTGCTACAACCTCCCTGTTAGGTAGTGGCGCTATCTGCTATCCACTACCTCTCTTATCTCTTCCTTCTCTCTATATTGGCTATTTGATTGTCCTCCGTTTTTCTATATTGCGTGTGATCATATATATATATGAGTGAATTGCAAAATTATTGTACCGTTATATTCATAGACGTAAAAACTTAATATCTTCAGTTTCTCTCAACCAATCCTTATGATTTTTCAGAGTATGCTCCTCAAATAAGTCCCCAGTACCTCACAATAGATCACGAATTTATCTGAAACTAGTCTCAAGATATTAAATGCGCAAAGTTAAAAAGATCGATTTTTACTGCCACCTGTTGAAAAAAAGTACAATACATTCGGCTGGTTCTCCTTTCATTCGAACTTCAAAAGTTGATAATGTTACAGTTGACACTATGTACTTATCGGCTATAAAGCTGATGGGTTCTTCCATGACATTTATTACGACACTTTTTTCTGTATACCCAATGTACAGTCAATTCTCGAATTCCTGTCACACGAGATTAAAAACGGCTTAGGCTTGTAACAACACATCTAAAATTGGTCGGGTTGGTGTTGAATGAAAATCAACACAGGGGAAATAAAAATGACTAGAGGCGATGAAAAATGTATGCTAGTATTTGTTAAAATAAAATTTGAAATATATTTTAAAAAAATAGCAGTCACACTAAATGTCACGCAAGATTTTTTATTTTGTTTCACGTATAACCCTCATAATGTATGACAGATTGAGCTGAAACGTTGATAATTTTATCCACTCATCATGGTCAACTATTGTTCAAAATATTAGGAATAAAAAGTTTGTCTTTCATACAAAAGAGAAAAAATAGAGTCAAAATAGCACATGAGATTATTATGTTCGTAACTATCCCACTGCTGAAGCCAAAATAAATACATTATGTATCAATTGATTTCATATTTAAAGGGCTACCAAGAGTCATGCCAATTAAAACTAGATTGTGTCTCACAAGTTAATTAATCGACAGAAAAAGGTCACTAGTTATATACATTCTCTAATTGACTGCATGTTTGCGAATTTTATAGTTTTGTAAGTGTAAGAAGCTAAATATAATATAGGACGAATCATACTGTTCCAGGTGCTACTTCTAGATGAAGCATGCTTCCTCATTACGAAGAAAAAGCTCAACATTAAAATATAAAATACGGTCGAAAAATTCGACTGAGGCGTGGGCTGGAAAAGTATTATGACCTTGAATTTACACAATAATTTTAAAAAAATTAATATCTTGGACAGTTTGATAGTGGTAGTCAGGAAATATTCTTCATATTCTCTTCTCATGTAGTACCATAGAATGCACTAATCATCATTTTAAAAATCGAAAATTTTTTTCGTCCACTTTTTTTTACAGAACGGTCCAATAATTTTGCAATTCACTCACACATATATATATCTGTTGTTGTTTATCTCTTAAAAGAGAAGGAGACGGTTAGTCGATCACAGACTAACAATTGGTGCCGTGATTCGCTTCGACAAATATTTGTCTAAAAAGATAAGATTCGCCCCCCCCCCCCTCAAGTTAATCCTTAGGTTTGCTATCCTCAACTTGTTATTCTTACAGGTGTTTATGTTATTTTCCCTCATTCTTATATTACTGCTTATTTTTTATACCATATGTCGGGATATTATATTATGTATTTCTACTAACATGGTATTATTCTGATTCATTACTCCATGTTAAACTTTATATTTATATTGTCATAGCTGTTAGAGATTATTTGGTTGTTATCATATTGACTCGGAACACTCTGATCACCCAACATTTCCTATTAGTTCTTGTTTTTTTTTCGCATTGAACTTATTATTGATTTTGTTTTGGTGATTCGTCATTCATCGTATTATTTCATTGTATGTTTCTATCGTGAGTAACATTTATTTATGGTAGTAACTTGTTTATGTTATTATCGATTGTTTCAACAAGTAGCACAATAATTTACCTAATATCGATATTGACTTTTTTCATCCATCTGACATTACTATTGGCCCTATTGTTTATCGTGCAGTATTATTATTACGTATGAACAAGCAATACATGCAGATTTTTGGTGGAGAACAAATAAATAACTTATTACATTTGATGGCGCTTATGATGAAGATGTTTTATTCAATTGTTACATGATACTGAAGACGTATTTAATCGAGTGCTACTACAACCATCAAATAAATATATAGCTGTACAATGTTTTTTTAACAAAAACTGCTGCCACATGGTTTGGATTTAATAAATCTAATATTCTTGATTGGTTCACAATTCAGATCGAAAGTGTTAAAGCTTTTCAACTATTAACTTCATCAAAAATCTCTTCAACTTCAACAATACCATACAAGGAAAACGATCGTGAAAATGATGAATTAGATTTAATTACTGATAATCAAATTAAATCATCCGAAGATTTAGGTAAAAAAATGTTTACTTCAACATGAACAAGGTCCTGATTCATCTATGTTAGTCACTATCAATGATCCTGCATCTGAAAATTTCAGCACAATGTACAAATGTAGCAAATGATTGTGATAAATTAGAACAGCAAGATGAATCTGTTATTAAATCGGGTTTTGTTCAAACTGATGCTGAAGATGTTTCTGCGAAGTATCTTCTGGAAGTATGAGTAATTTAACACCTGATGATTCATTAATTATTAATGTTATATCTCACAGATACTCAATATTTGTTTTCGGATCAATATCGACTACGTCAACGCCGTGTATTTAATAAAATTTATACTAGTCATGATGGAAGTCAATATAATAAAAAACATTATGATACAGATAATCCACCATCAAGCATTCAAGAATATATACATTTACTATTTTCTACTCTGGATTGATTGATTGATAAAACAACAACATCAGCTTATATTCTTACTATTTGTGAAGATAATAAAGATTTTTCAATTTTAAGATATCATGCTGAACCACCTTATGAAGATATTACATTCAAGATGATTAGTAAAGAATGCGATTATCCAGATAAACATGGATTTCAATGTCATTTTCAAAACGAAATATTTAAATTTATGGTTTTATTTTCCCAAATGGAAATCTCGTCGACAAACTTTGTTTTCTCTTTCTATTGTTTTCATTTATGCAATTTTTCTAAAGTTAAGTTGACATCCCAGTAAAAATCAGAGTTATAATTGAGAAGACTGATCACTCGGAATATAAATATGAACTATGAATGAGTGGCATGTGAACATATTTCAGTACATAGAGATTGAAAAACAATGAAGTGACCTACTTTTTCCGATGAGGTTGGGTTCGAAAAATCTTTACTGCAATACCAAGTTCAGGAGCAATATAGATACGAATCCCATATTCAAATAGAGAACATTCAGTTACACTCAGTATCATCAAAGAGCCGAAACCAGAAAGCATCTGAATAGTTTTATAAGGGTTAGAAAAGTAATTATTATAGGCAGTCATTTACATGAAAAAAAGCGTCGAGTCAAAGGTACGTGCTAAAACTCACCAACAATATTATTTTACCTCGTATGTATTCTCTACATTCAGTGTAACTACTGGGCGTAACTGAATAAGTCCTATTCGAATATGGAATTCGCATCAATAGTACTTCAGAAATCGGATTCGCAGTCGACGTTTTTGAAATACAGTCAGCTATATAAGCACAGATTACTTAATTGTTTTGTTTGTTTTTATATACGAAAGTGTATTCATGTGTCATTCAAAGCTCATATTTATACTCCGAGTGATCACTCCTCTCAATTATTATTTTGATTTTTACTGAGAAGCCAACTTAACTTTAGGAAAGGCTTTCCCTTCGTTCGATATATTGGAGGTTTTGGTGACGGAACCCTTTTCAATACAGAAAAGCTTCTTTAAATGACTTCTCTAGGTCATTTCAACTGATTTCTATCCCTTAACACCTAGAGTAGTCAACGAAAGCAAAAGCTTTCACTAGTGCCGTTCATTAGTTCGAAAAAGATTTTTTTTACTAAAGTGGGCGGATAATTTTTATGCGCAAAACGATCTAGACACCTCTACAATTTTTTAAAACAAATAGGAAATATAAGCAAGAAAAATCTGCAAATACTAGCATTTGCACCACTAGCAACAGGGTGCATAATCACCTATGTTCGATCTCTCTTGTTCATCTCGTTCGAAGCATACTAGAGAAAATAAAGTGATGATGGAGAAATGGGTGAATCATGTTTTGACGCACTGTATTTGTTTCAAAAGATATGTTTGGGTGATTTCTGTTCGCATCATATCTAGCTCGACTTTGGGAAAATTTATTGTGCGTTACACATGTTCACCGAAGAAACAGTTTCAATTGTGATTTAATACGTTCTGTCTAAGGTTGCTATATCACAAGTTATCGACTGATTGCAAAACCATATGATTGAATAGACAGAATCATTTTGTGTAGTTTCTGAATAATTCCTATGATTGTCTAAGTGACGAATGAAGAACCCCATTTTAAGTATTATGTCGACATCCATTTGTCG